TTTTTGTGATTGTTTCAGAAATGTTCTTACAGTTGATCTGTAACATAAAGATCCAACCCGGATTCATACACTATATTTGGTAGAATTGTGTCTTCAGTCCTTTAAAATACATAACATTTTGCCATCTCTTTTTTTCTTGCAATATATTTGTTGAAGAAATTTGGTCATTTGTTCTGTAGAATTGCCCTTATGTTGGATTTTCCTGATTGCATCCCCATGGTGTTATTTAAAATGTTCTTCTGTCTCCTGTATTTTCATAGTTTGACTTTAAACAAACCCAACAAGGCAAAAATAAAATAAAATTAAAATTCGCTTCTGACTGATGTCCCTCTCTTTAAGTTCTGGACATTTTTACTTTCTTATGAAGAAAAGAGTCTGACAAGAATATGGGAGTGTCCCCTGATCTTTGGCAAAAATTCCCCTAAAACAGAGTGATACAAACATATTTGCTGTTTAAAGAGATCACTTGGGCTGCTTTATGATGAATGGACTAGGAGAAAGCAAGTGTAGAAATGGGGATACCAGTCTTCCAGGTGATAAATAATGGAGAAAGGAGATGGATTTGAGAGATCTTTAGGAGTTACAAACAACAGGACTTGATTAATTGGATGTGGAGAGTAAGGAAGAGTCAAAGATAATTGTTGATGGTGGCTAGTTTTCCACAATGGTTTTAAGTAGACATAAATGGAAAATCGGTAGGCTTTGCAGTTCAGGCACTAATTGGTGCTGGCATAATGAGAAAGTCAAGGCCTAAAACTTGGTCAATACATGGGGGTGACTTGGCTCACTGAGTGCCCTGAAGGGTACTGATACAAAGCAATGTGTTCCACTTCAAGAATCTTCCCATCTGGAGAACATCTTATTCAACATGGCCACTATGACCACTGTACATTAAGCATGGCTTTATGAAAGGCAAGGGAACCAATGGGAAGATGAGCCTACCTAGCTGCCCATTTGGCTCATTTTTACCCTTTACTCAGCTGACTTGCTGCTTTAGAAGTAAATCAAAGCAAAAATAGCTGAACTGAGTCCAAGCTGTCATCTGTATCCACTCTCAAACTCAAACCAGTGAGTTTCTGGCTTGAGCACTTGACTAGGTAGCTGGTATTGCTACTGTTGGAGATGGGGAATGTAGTGGAGGAGGACCTGGCTTTTCATTTTGTTGTTGAAATTGCTGTTGTAATTGTGGGAGAGGTAAAGAAGTAAGTTTAGTTTTGGATATGTGACCTTAAGGTCACTTTGATACTACAAATGGAAACAGGAGCTAGGCAGTTGCATGCATGGGTCCAGATTCCAGAAAAAAGTTGTGGGCTAAAGATAAAAATGTGAGAATCCTTAGCTAAACAGATAGAAATTGAAATTATGGGCAAGAATGAGCTCACCTAGGGAGAGAATGTAGTTAGAAGAGAAGAGGGCCAAGAACTGAACTCTGAGAAAAACACATATTTAATAAGGATGGTGATACAACTATCTACTGGGCTTTGGGGAGAAAAAGGAAAAAAAAAAAATAAAAGGAGGAGGTTTGGCAATAGATGTTAGCTTAGGGCCGGTCTTCCTCAGCAAAAAAGGATTGGCATGGATGTTAGCTCAGGGCTGATCTTACTCACAAAAAAAAAAAAAAAAGGACGGTGAGCAGGCTGAGAAGACAGATGTATATAGCAGAATAGGTAGGAGAAGCGTGGTATCTGAATACCGAGAGGAAGAGTATTTCAAGGAAAGTGTGACCAACAGGGTCAAATGCTACTGAGAGTCATGTAAAATGAAAACTGTTCACTGGATGTAGCAATCAAAGGTTACTGCTGGCCTCAGAGAAAGCTATTTTGGTAGAGTGGTGGTAGCTAAGGCCAGATAGAAATAGTTTTAGGAGTGCCTGGAAGGTGAGGAGTGGGCACCAAATACAGACAACCCTTGAGAACTTTAACCCTGAAGGGATGGAGAGAGATTAAAAGGAACATTTAGGAATCCAAGAAAGAAGAGAGGAAAGTAATAGCATATGTGTTAAACGTTACTCAAATTTGATTCCACAAGCATCTGTTGATCACGTGAAGGGCACAGGGCAAGGAACCAAGAACTGAGAGATGAGTAGGAAAAGGTCCCTCCCCTCAAAGTGCTCAAGGTTTAATAGGGGGGAGAGAGAGAAAGAAATAATTATGTACGGACAGTGCAATAAAATATGCATTTATTAGGTTCAATGGTGGCATAGAGGTGGGAGTGGAGAGTATGTTTATTAGAAATGAGACCAGGGAAGACACTAGAAGTGACATTTAAACTGAGTTATGAATTCTTAAGTGTTTGCTAAGATGACTATGAGAAAGCCATTCCAGTTAGAGCAAAAAGCATAGTTTATTGGAAAACTACATGTAGCCTTTAAAGAGCACGGGTTCTTGGAATCATATAGTCTAGATATAAATCCTGACTTCAACCTTACCAGTTCTGTGATTTGGGGTAATCACCATACCTTTGCAAAGCCTCAATTTCCTGATGTATAATATGAAGGCTGATAATTCCTAACTCACAGGATTTTAGGAGGCTTAAAAGTTGTGAAGCACTGAATTCAGTAGCTGGTACACAGCAGATACACAATATGCAATCCTACAGTAAAAACAAGAGTTCTAAAACGTAAAAAGAGTGGCGAGGTCAGAAGCTAAAGAAGATAATCAAGAACCAGATTATATCAGGGGCCAGCCCGGTGGCACAGCAGTTAAGTTCACACGCTCCACTTCTGCGGGTTCGCAGGTTCGGATCCTGGGCACAGACCTACACACAGTTCAGATCCTGTGGCAGGTTTGGGTCCTGTGGCAGAGTCCCATATAAAGTAGAGGAAGATGGGCAAACATGTTAGCCCTGGGCCAGTCGTCCTCAGCAAAAAGAGGAGGATTGGCAATGGATGTTAGCCCAGGGCTAATCTTCCTCACACACACATACAAAAGAACCAGATAGTAACAGATTTGTCAGGAAGGGCAGCATTGTTCCCAGCATTAATTTAAAAAAACTAGTACAACTATTAGAAAGCAAACTGAAGTCAGGCTTAATTCTACTAAAAAAAGTCTTCAGGAAGCATCTTAATTATAATCTCCTGTTGATGAAGCCTAAGGCAACAGATATGTACAAGTAGTTTATACAGGCTACTAATTAGGAGGCAGAACTGCTAACCTCTGTGCATTTGCAAATTTTTTTTACATTACAACATCTTGTAATACAATGCATTATTTTCTATTAAGATTGTTGCTAAACTTCAGTTTTCTAATATTTTTTCTTTATATGTTTCGGTATTTAAAAAAATGAACTAGTAGTACGGTAATATTTTGATTTTAGTAAAAATGCTATTTCAACTCTACCACACCACCAGAATTATCAGATAACACCACGGTGTAGCTGACCTTGAGAGTTTGGGAAAGGCATGTTTTTTGTGTGCGTGTGTGACGAGGATCAGCCCTGAGCTAACATCCATGCCAATCCTCCTCCTTTTTGCTGAGGAAGACCGGCCCTGAGCTAACATCTATTGCCAATCCTCCTCCTTTTTTTCCCCCCAAAGCCCCAGTAGATAGTTGTATGTCATAGGTGCACATCCTTCTAATTGCTGTATGTGGGATGCCACCTCAGCACGGCCAGACAAGCAGTGCATTGGTGTGCGCCCAGGATCCGAACCCGCAGCCACCAGTAGAGGAGTGCACTCACTTAACCGCTAAGCCACGGGGCCAGCCCCTGGGAAGGGTATGTTAAAGGTACAGTTAGCCTCCACAAAAAGCTGCAGGTGGATCTAAGGAAATTTGCATGGGAACTGTGGCCTCTATCCTTTCCTCATAGTTTGAATGGATAAAGGTTTCTCTTGTCCAAGTCAGCGATTTATCTTTTAAATTTTTATTTTGAGGTAGCCTTTTTCTTTTCTTTTTGGAAGAGTTCAACTTCTCACTTATGTGAACAATGTTCCCACTGTAGAAGGTATCTTTGCCTTGAAAAGATAATCCTGGGTCACCAAAGCCTCGAGCACTTAACCTGCTGAGTTATTTTTAGAGTTAAAAGGATTATCCTGATATCTTCATTTGGGAATTTTCCATTCCAGATGAATCCAGTGGATAATCTTTCCACTGGAATTTTAATGCTGATTTTGGTATTTCATATACATGTATTGTTAATGCTGTTTTTGATATTTGGTATGGAATGATTTGTGTTATGTCCTGTGTATACGCCTCAGTTTCCCTAATCTTTTTCTCATGGCCTGAGCCTACAGATTATGCCTCATTTTATGTAAATATATAATTGGGTTGATTCTTCAAGATGTTTCATTAAGCTCATCTGGTCCATTTATTGTAGTTGACTATAATTTCCTGTGGTAGGAGATCCTGAATTCCTGGCAGCACTGTTGGTTTTATCTGTAGGCTAACAGACGCTTAATAAACACACTGAGACCATCTAAGAGTGCAGCGCAAAGTCCTTCAAGCAGTGGCTTTGGATTTCAAAGTTTTTGTTTTGCCCAAGCCCTACAGTAACATCTATAACCCAGTACACAGCACACGTTTATATGACTGAATACAAAATGTTGCTATGGAAAACTTATTCGACTATCCGAGATGTCCCTGGAATTTCTTCCTTTATTTCGTACAAAACAAAATCTGCACCCCTCCCAGGTAGAAACCAGCTACCTTGATTTTATGAACCCCTAACGGGTCGTTAAAGGCAGACTGAAATCGCTCCTCTAGCAGTGTCTGCCGCTGCTCCTTCTGTCACAGCCTTTCGGAAACGCGCCGCTTGCAGGTGGGAAGGCAGCGGCCCGCGGAGAAGTCACTGAGCCGCACCAGCGCTTCGTCCCCGACCCCGAAGCATGGAGCAGGCTTTCTGCAGTGCAGCGGCGAGAGGGGCACTAAGCTACAGCCCCCACTCGGTGGATGATGCAGGCCTCCACTCACTTCCCTGCCCTGCAGCTTCCTCGAAGTCCGCCCCGCCCCCTTCCTCATTTGTCCGCGAATTTCATTTCACGCCCGCGGAGAGGGCCGAGCGCCGAATGATCGATGCTTCCTCCACGCCCCAAGAGCCGCCATTTTGGGGGGAGGAGAAACACTTGTTGGGGCGGCAGAGGCTCAACGGGATGTTTACTGGCTTTTGCTTCTCTTGCCAGCACTGTGGGACCGGGGGAGAAAAATCCACCGGGGCCACTCCTCCGGCTGCCTCTCCGGAATGAGGCCTCGGCTCCCGCGCGGGACGTCCCCCTGTCTCCTCCGAGAGTGAGTGGCGGCCGCCGGCGCCGCGCGCCCCCGCGCCCTCCGCTGTCAGTTACCCCGCGCGCTCCCGCCGGCGCGCGCCGCTCCCCGCGCGCTCCCGCCCCTCCCCCGCCCGGCTTGGCGCTCAGCGCGGACTCGCTTGTTTGTTTCTGCAGGAGCCCAAGGAGAGGCCGAAGCCGAGACGATGCCTGGGAAGCTGAAGGTGAAAATCGTGGCCGGGCGCCATTTGCCAGTGATGGACCGAGCTAGTGACCTGACTGATGCCTTCGTGGAGGTTGGTGCAAGGTCCTGCCCCTCAAAACACAGGAGCGCCTAGCTCTGTGAAGGATCGTACCCACCTGTCCCCAGCCCCTCAGCCCATTCCCCTTTGACTGCCGTCTCGTGCGCGGTGCTTGTCCAGTCCTCCCTCGAGGGCTGACTGTCGAGACTGCAGCCCATGTGACGGGTGCACTGCTCGCAAGCGTCTGCGGCTCACTTCGCCCGCCGGGAGGCTCTGCGTGCTGGGGTGACCCTGATGTCAGGACTCCTAACAGGCCACCTGCCAGTCCGGAGATCCCAAGGCGTGGCCCTGCGGCCACCGAAACACACACACACAGACACACACCCTTCTTTTGGGGAGGGGTGGCTCTTCACCCCAGAGTGATGGAGAAGATGTTTAAGAATGTAGAAACAGCCCGTTATGGGCACTTGGAGACTTCCAGGGCGAGGAGATCCACTCTCTAGCATATTTTCTGAATCATGATGCAAGTTCTAAAACGACTAACACTTTCTGCTCTTGTATAGACTGGTAAGTCTGATGAGCTGTTTCAAGGTAATTTAGAGCCTTGAGGTAGGAAGCCGATTAAGTGCCATGGATTTAAATTGCAAAATTGCTTTTTAAATCTAATGATTAGTTTAAGACTCATGCAAATTAGCACAGGCCTAGGGCCGGGAAAGTAATAACCTGAAAGAAGCCAGGTAAAAATTGTAATAAAAATTGACATGATGAGCCAGAGCGTTAGAACAATAATCATTTGGGCTATTAATGCTTAGAGTTGATAGATACATGATAATATATAGCTAGATTTCATCTCAGTATGAAATATTCTTTATGTTCCCTAAAGGTTCTCTAACCTAAAAACTGAAGTCTTCCCTCCAAACAGTGCCATAGTAATTCTTAATCACAACTTCATTTTCAGTTGAGAAACAGGTACTGGGTATGTTCTTGGACCAGATGTTAGGTAATGGGGATACACAGATTATCAAAGCGTTGTCTTTGCTTTCAGGTAGGTCGGAGACTGATCACACAGGTTAGGTTAATAACTAATAACTCACCTATATTGAGTCTCATTATTGCCAGGCATGTGCTAAGTATTTTTTAATTCTTAGTCTTCACAACAGTCCTGCTTTTGTATTATTATCCCATATTACAGTTGACATAACTGAGGCCTAGGAACAGTAAATAATTTGCCTAAGATTGCTTAACCTTGTAAATCTCTATAGCCTTGTGGTCTGTTTTGTTAACCACTGTGCTAATACTGCCTCTCCAGACAAGAGGATGAGGATTGTTGTAGACTATGGAAACGTAATTTTGTCTCTGAAGGTTTAGGGAGGCTTCCTAAGAAAGTGACATTTGAGCTGGGCCTTGAAGAACAGCCAGGATTTTACCAGGCAGAGGAAACATCAAAGGCACAGAATGGGATACATGGTATGTTTAGGAAACCGTCTTAGTTTGGGATGTGTCTGGAGTCAGAGGAGATATGTGGGAAGTGGAGGTTGTGAGGGATAAGGCTGGAAAGGTAGATTGGAACCAAACCTCAATTTCTATACTAAAGAATTTCTCCTTTCTTCTATAAGCAGGAGTAAGACAGGGGAGCTTTTTAAGTAGAAATGAAATAAGATGACGTTTGTATTAGGTTGTTTCTTTTTATAGGATAACTTGAGCGGTGATGTTATGGACGGGCTGGACAGGTGAGAGCTGAGGCAGGGAGATCAGTTAAGGTGGTAAAATTATCCTGACAATATATGCACATTGAGCAATGGCATTGGGAACAGTTTAGAGGAGAAAAATTTGAGGGACATTTCATAGGTAAAATTGTTAGGCCTTGGTATCAGATGGTTTTTGCTGGTGAAGGAGGGGTCGGATTCAAGGGTAACTCATTAATTCCTTCTTTGAACAAATAGTTATTGAGTGTTCGCTATTTGCCAGACTCAGTGCTAGTCATTGGTCTAGCCATGCATATGCGATGGTGAACAAAATAGACTTGGTTCCTGCTTTTATGGAGCTTATGTTTTGGTGGGAGAGACAGACATTAAAAGTTAAGAAATGATTAAATATGTAATTACAAATTGTGATGAGTGCCATGAAAGAAACAATAGAAAGAGAATAATAGGGAATGTTTACTTTAGGTTGAGTAATCACGAGAGGCCTCTCAGGAAGTGTCAAGGAAGGAAAGACTTGTTGGACAAGAGGAAACTAGCTGCTCAGGGAGTGTATTTGTGTGTGTAGGGCAGGGATGGGGCCTACGAGAAGCTGGAGGAGGAGAGTCTCAGCAAAGGGAAAGTCCTGAGGAGATGTGCTTTGTTTTAGGACGAGAAGAAAGATGTGTGTGGCTGGCATGTACTGAGTGAAGGGGAGAGTGGTGTAAGATAAAAATTGGAGAGTTAGTCAAGGAGCCAATCGCACAGGACCTTAGAGGCCATGATTAGGAGTTTGGATTTTGTTCTGAAGTCAATGAGAAGCAGTTAAGATGAGCACTTTTGTTGCTGTTGGGAGAATGGACTCAAGAGGGGAAAGAGCTGAAGCAGGCAACTAGTTAGGAGATTTGGGAACAGTTCAAAAAAGAGGTGGTGAGGGCCAAGGTAATGCTTTTGGTAATGGAGAGAAGTGGGGATTCCAGATATACTTTGCAGATAGGCTCTAGGAGATGTATTGGTAGATTGGAGTAGGGGACCAGGGAAAGGGAGACTAACAGATGACTCTTAGTTTTCTGGAGTCATTGGGGTAATTTTCTGAGACTCCATGGGAGTGATAGAGATTGATTAAGTAGGTGGAGAATCAGTTTCCGTATGGGCATGTTAGGTTTAAGATATCTTGATGACCTTTAATTGGAGCTGTCAAGGAGAAAGTTGGATTTATGAGTATGGTGTTGTGAGGTGTGAGTTAAAAATGAGCTCATACAGGCCAGTGTGTCTCAACTTTGTGAGACCCAGTGTCACCTTTGTATAGCAGGTATTTTGAAATCCACCCTCTACTGTCTTGGCATGATATTCATAACCTATCTATGCTCACAACTTAAAAAATCAAATACTCTAATTGTGAAAAGACAGAGAAATGAAAGTATTTTTTAATGTGTATTTCAACATGGAAGTGCTTGTTTGTGACCACAGTGGAAGACATGAAGAAATCAGATTGAGTTCATGAGTATTTATTGAGCCTTTGTGTATATCAGACACTGTACTGGATATAGTACAGTGTGCTGGGGGTATAGTAATGAATAAAACAAAAATTTCTTTAGTTATGGGACTTACATTTTAGTGCGAGGAGGGAGTTCATAAAGAAGATAATTAAGTAAAAGATAAAGTATACTAGATGGTGAGAAGTGCCCCATGTGGAGAAAATAAAGCAGGCCTACGGGGTAGGGAGTGTCTCACCTATGTGAATCACATGAATCATATGAATATGACTGCTCCTCACCCAGAATGAGACAGTTGTGTAGTTTTGGCATCTTAGATAGGCCTTCACTGCCATTGGCTATCTGATTTTCCAATATAGTCAATTTATGGGAAGAAACAGAATTGTCCCTTACTTTACATGATGGTTGTATTTCTTGACAATTATGTATGTTAAAACCCCATCACAACACTTTTGTCCATAAAACTGAGTTAGGTTCTAGGTAGGTTTTTACCCATGTGACTCTCTGGTTGGACATTTGAAAGTCATGACATAACTCCTCATTTTTGGGGACTGTCTCTTGCATTGCAGGACACCTAGCATCTCTGGACCTGCCTTGATAAACACTACTACTATTCCCCCAAGAAATGTCCCTAGAAATTTCTAAAGCTCCCTTAGGACTTGGTTCTTTCCTTTTTGCAAACCTCGGACTTAGGGGGAGAGAGAGAAGAAGGATGGATCCTTGAAAAAACTTGACATTAAGCCGTCTTTAGAGGAAGAGGACTAGGGGAAGGAAACTGAGATTGTCAGCTAATTGGGGGCGGGGAGGAAATGAGGAAAGTAATATCCCCGAAGGCAAGAGAGGAAGTTTCTAGAAAGAGGAAACCCTCAACTGTCAAATGATACCGAAAGGTCAAGTAAGAGGACAGAGGAATCACTGAATTGGGCAAGATGGGAGTTGTTACTGATCCTGACAATAGGAATGATAAGGACAGAAGCCCTTAGCGTAGTGAGTTAAAGAGGGTTAAAGTATATGGGAGATGAGGAAGTAGGAATGGCGTGAATAAGTAACTATTTCAAGAAGTAGGGCTGTCAAGGGCAGAGGAGAAATAGTGTGATATTTGGGGAGTGTGTAGCTTTTAGTACTTTTAAAAAAATAAGTTAGAAGATGTTAGAACATGTTTGTGTGCTAATAGGTATAATCCAGCAGAAAGGGAAAGATTAATGGAGGAAAAAGGGGATAGTAAAGGATTACAATACAATAAAGGGGTAAATTGTGTGCTGTAGACTGTAAGTACTATACAAGCTCATAGGAGAGGGACATAATGAAGCCTGGGCTGGTCATGAGAAATCTTTGTGCTGAGCTTGAAGGATGGTAAAATTTCCATAGGCAGAGAGGAAAAAGGGGCATTTTTCAGATGAATAGGACAAACTTAGTAAAAACAAAAGGAGGGATAGAGCATATGTAATTGAAGGGAGGGTTTTTGTTGAATAGAAGTGGGAAATAAAATTTGGCTAAATATGGGAGGGATACAGATTACCAAGTGGTCTGAAAATCAAGGGGACAAGTCTGTACAGCAGAAGCTCTTAACCAGCTTCCATTAGCTGACTGGCTACAGTCCCCAGGGCTCTGCATTCCTTCCATAAGCACTTTCTTGAATACCTCATATCTTTAGATTATTCTCCAGTGTGCCTGTGTGCTTTTCTCCCATCAGTTGGCTGTTATACTTCACCAAGAGGCAGTTTATTCCCAAACCTGTTTATGCCAACTCTGTTATTGTAGTTTATTTGAACCTTATATAAATTGGTGAAGTAAGTGTGAAAATGAAGTCGATAATGCTATGTAAAGACTTATGGATACAGTCGCTAAAAATTACTCTTCAATTAGAAGAAGATTGTAAAAAATCTAGGATTCTATGTTCATAGTTTTTTGAGTGATTTTAAGTTCTACTACCACGTTTTAAATCCAAACTGGCAGTCACAGATGATACATTATGGGTGTGTGGTTTATGCAAAAAAGATGATGCAGAACTCTAAACAGGGCCCCCTTACTCAAAGAAGAGGCCTTAGTCTTACATTAAAAGGTAGAGGAATGAATATTTATTTATGTTTTATCTTAAAATGTTTACTGTTTGTATCATTTTTAATGATTCTCTGATTTAACCAAATTATTTGTTTAACTGAGCAAATACTGGTCCTGATTGCATTGGTCGAGGGAATTTCTACGATATATGATGTGAGAAGTTTAGGAAGCCATTGAAGACCAAGTAATATTTAAAGATGATTATTCTTGCAGGAATCTCCAGGATGAATGGGGTGGGATTCTGTACAAGGGAGCTATTAATGGAAGTGTATCTCAATATTAATGTGCATGTTGCAAACCGTTCCCACTAAACTACATTATCATTTCTTATTTACCCAGGGGCCTTTGCAGGAACAGGGAGAGGAAAATAAATTAATATTTCTGTGTACCAGACAGTTTGCTAGGTCTCTACATGCATTACCCCATGCAATGCTCCCAGCAACCCCACTTTTCAGAGGAGAAAGCAGCCTTAAATAACAGGTTAAATAACTTTCTCAAGGTAATTTAGCTAATGAGTAGGGAAAGAGAATGCTTTTACTTTACTAGGGAATCTCATTAAAATCCCTGATGTTGTTGAACAAAGTTGTAAGGCATTCATTTAATTGCTGAGTAATAAAATCTCTTTTGAATTAAGTAAGACTAAATGAACTGGGATTCTTCTTTAGCAGAAGGGGAATCATCACAATGTTGCCAAAATACACACTCTAGCCTTTTTTTCTTTCCAAAATCTTGTTTTTGTTTGTTTGTTTAACGTAGTGTGGGGACTATCAGATGTTTACTATATCTAGAATGAACAGTTGACCAAAAAAACAAACAAGGCACAATATAGCACTATGGTATAGTGGGACAAAACTGAGGAGGGCTCTGAAATCATAAATTAAAAAATGATATGCTCGGGCCGGCCCTGTGGCTTGGTGGTTAAGTGCGTGCGCTGCAATGCTGGTGGCCCGGGTTCGGATCCCGGGTGCGCATCGAGGCACCACTTCTCCGTCCATCCTGAGGCCGAGTCCCACATACAGCAACTAGAAGGATGTGCAGCTATGACATACAACTATCTACTGGGGCTTTGGGGGGAAAAAATAAAAATAAATAAAAAAAAATCTTTAAAAAAATGATATGCTGGGGCCGGCTCCCTGGCTTAGCGGTTAAGTGCGCGCGCTCTGATGCTGGCGGCCCGGGTTCGGATCCCGGGCGCGCCCCGAGGCACCACATCTCCGTCCAACCCGAGGCCGAGTCCCGCGTACAGCAACTAGAAGGATGTGAACCTACGACATACAACTATCTACTGGGGCTTTGGGGGGAAAAAATGAATAAATAAAAAAAAAAAAATCTTTAAAAAAAAAAAAAAAAAAAATGATATGCTGTTTTTGGCAATTGAGCCAAAACCCTGAAGTACATTTGGGTTTTGAGTGGTTTTGAATGGTTTTATAAATCCTAACATTTTGCTTCAAATTAAGCAATTTTTAGGCAAATTAAACAATAAGTATTTCTTTGATATTTTGAATATTGAAATATAATGAAAATTAGATTAGTAAATGAGCAGTAACCTCTATTCTCAGATTTCTTTTCCCTCAAGTTTCATTTCTTTCACATTTATGATTTAAAATAAAAAAACTTATGCAAGTAATACGTGAATAGCTCCCATTGCAAAAGGTTCCAATACTCAGAAGTAAAACTTGAAAACCCCTTACTTCTTACTTTCTACACTGTATTGTATTGCTTAACCCTCTCAGTCCCTTCTTCAGAGATAATTGCTGTCAATTTTTTAGCATGTGTTCATCTACTCTTTCTCCCCTCCTTTAAAAAAAAAAACTTTTGCATATCATATTTTTAGAAATGAATGTAATCATACTTTATATATTCTGTTTCTTGGTTTTTTCAGTTATTATGTCATTGACATCTTCCCATGACACTACGTATAATCGACTTGCTTCTTTAGTAGGGAGCTTGTGATTTATTCACTTTCCTGTTGAATGACTATTTAGGTTTTTGTATATTTTTTGGGAGGGGGCCTCATGTGAAAGTGCTTTTTTAGGATAAATTCCTGGAAGTAGATCCAGAATGCTATAATTTGAATCAAAATAAAGTTTTGACATTTGAATCTTATTTTAATTTTTGTTGTTTTTGAATTTTAAAATAATACATTTAAAAAATAGGTAATATATGGGGCCGGCCCGGTGATGTAGCGGTTAAGTGCGCTCACTCTGCTTTGGCGGCCCAGGGTTCGCAGGTTCAGATCCCGGGCGCGCACTGACGCACCGCTTGTCAAGCCATGCTGTGGTGGCGTCCCATATAAAGTAGAGGAAGATGGGCATGGATGTTAGCCCAGGGCGAATCTTCCTCAGCAAAAAAGAGGAGGATTCGCAACAGACGTTAGCTCAGGGCTAATCTTCCTCACGAGAAAAAAAAAAAGGTAATATATGTGCATGGTTCAAAATTCAAAAGGTACAAAACGAGTCAGCCTCTCGTGGCCTTTCCTTTAACCCATCTGTTCCATTCTTTCTCGTGGCCGCTGTTAACATTTCTTGTATATCCTTCTAGAAATAATTTGTGCATATATAGGCATTTGTTATATGCTTTATAACATTTTGTTACTTTTTTCTCCACAAAGAATGCCCTGCACACTGTTCTGCAGTAGACAGATGTATCTTGGGTGTTGTTCCATGCATAGAGAACTGCTTCAGTCTTCTATTTAGCATTGCACACACTGCATTATGTGGCTTTATCATACTTAATTTAACCAGTTCTAAATTGATAGACATCTAGGTTATTTCTAATCTTTTGCTACTATAATGCTGCTTATATATGTCATTGCCCATGTCTCTCTGAGGATATAGGCATTTAAAGTTTTGATATTCATGGTCAAACTGCACTCTGTAGAAATTGTTCTGATTTACACTCCTACCAACAGAGTATGAGAGTGCCCCACTAACACTGTTTTCAAACTTTTTGATCTTTGCCAATCTGATAAGTAAAAGTGTTGGCTTAATTTGCATTTCTTTTGGTATGAATGAGGTTGATCATTTCTTGATATATTTGAAAGACATCTTTATTTCCATTTCTTTGAATTGTCTGTTCATGTCCTTTGCCCATTTTTCTGTTGCTTTGTTGATCTTTTCTTATTGCTTTGTAGGAACTTGTTAGAAATTGAGGAAATTAGCTCTTAAGCTTCCTGACCACTTCTCAAGTCCAGTCTGAGGTTTCACAATCTCCTCTTTGTTGGAAGCAAGTCCCAGGGATTAGTCTGCTTTCTGCCTTCTTTATTTCTTTTTCACCTATTTTTGGATCTTCATGATTTAGTGGCTGCCAAGACTGGCTGTGAAATAAGATAGTCTCTCCATCCATCGCTTTCATTGTCCCTGAAGAGAGAAACATAAAACCCTTCATGACCGTGGTTTATTGCCGATCACTGTGCGCTGTGAGAGTGTGAGAGTAGACTGAGAGTCAGCTGGCCTTTTTACCTTCGCATTTTATTTTTGCTGGCCCTCCGCTCTTAAGACTTTCCTCTTTTGTTTGAGGTTGAGTTTAGTAAAGGCCATACTGACTCCTTCCTCCATACTGAATGGTCTATGTTTTTAATTTCACTGTAGAGCTAGTCAGGCAGAACAGTGGGTAATCTCTTTTTCCAGATGTATTCTGCAAACTTACCTGGACCCATCTGTGCTTTCTTCCTTGTTGTCTCAGGGAACAGTTGTCTTTTATCCCCTCCATGGTTAATCCTCCTTTTGGTGGCTGACATTAAATTTTATTTTGATTCACATTTTTGTTATTTATATTTGAATTGTTTCTTATTTGTTTTTAGGTAAAATTTGGTAATACTACCTTTAAAACAGATGTGTATCTCAAGTCCCTCAACCCTCAGTGGAACTCAGAATGGTTTAAATTTGAGGTAAGTTTTTAAATGTCAGCATTTTTGCGGTGACCCTTTTCCCCAGGAGTGATAAGCGTACCTTTTATTTCAGGTATAGTAGTTTTTCTGCACCATAAAAACATTTCCTAGGAATATTGAGTTTTTAAAAAATTATGTTATAGTTAAGAAAATATAGTATATGAATATGAGAACCCAGATTAAAAAAAATAGAATTCCTTAGAGGTATTATATTATTATTGAAATAATTTTCTCTGGTTTTAGCATATACCAAAAATCACTTAAGAACAATGTACAGATTAAAAGAATTTTTTTAGTTGTGGTAAAAAATATATGTCATAAATATTGCCATTTTGACCATTTTTAAGTATACAAGTCAATAGCATTAATTACATCCACAGTGTTGTGCAACCATCACCACTATTTCCAAAACTTTTTTATCAGTCCAAACAGAAACTGTATTCATTCAGCAATAAATCCCCATTCCCTCCTTTCCCCAGCTCCTGGTAACCCCCAATCTACTTCGTGTATCTTTGAATTTGCCTATGTTAGATATTTCATATAAGTGGAATCATAAGTATTTGTCCTTTTGTGTTTGGCTTCTTTCATTTAGCATAATGTTTTCAAGTTTCATCCATGTTGTAGCATGTATCAGAATTTCATTCCTTTTTATGGCTGAATAATATTCCATTGTTCATATATATACCGCAGTTTGTCCCATTTATCTACTGATGGACACTTGGGTTATTTCTGCCATTTGGCTATTGTGAATAATGCTGCAATGAACATTGATGTACAAGTATCTGTTTGAGTCCTTGTTTTCAGTTCTTTTGGGTAGAAGTGGAATGGCTGGGTCTTATGGCAAATTCTATTTAGCTTTTTGAGGAACTGCCAAACTGTTTTCCACAAGTGGCTATACCATTTTACATTCCCACTGGCATGTATGAGAGTTCTAGTTTTTCCATATCCTTGTCAACACTTGTTATTTTATGTTTTTTTAAAAAACTGTAAGCCATCCTAGTAGGTCTGAAGTGATAGTCACTGTATAGTTGTAATTATGAATGAGGCGTTTTTATTTTGAATGAAGCAACTTATGATTTCTGTGGCTAAGGACCATTTGCGTTTCTTTTACTTTGAACTATCTCCTACTTTAACCTTCCAAAGAAGATATTTGGAGATGACGTTATGGCAGTAGACTTACCGGGACTTGGTGACCAGCTTAATACGAAGAATGTAGACGTGAAGTGGTATCTCATTGGTTCTGATTTGCATTTCTCTAGTGACTAATAATGTTGACCATCTTTTTATGTGCTTATTGGCCATTTGTAGATCTTCTTTGGAAAACTGTCTATTCAAGTCCTTTGCCTACTTTTAAGTTGGGTTGTTTATTTATTTTGTTGATGTTTTAATAGTTTATAACATTGTGAAATTTTGGGTTGTACATTTTTGTTTGTCCATCACCATATATATGTCTCCCTTCACCCCTTGTGCCCACCCCCTACCCCCATTGCCCCTGGTAACCACAATACAGTTTTCTCTGTCCATGTGTTGGTTTATATTCCACATATGAGTGAGATCATACAGTGTTTGTCTTTCTCTTTCTGGCTTATTTCACTTAACATAATACCCTCCAGGCCCATCCATGTTGTTGCAAATGGGACGATTTTGTCTTTTTTTTATGGCTGAGTAGTATTCCATTGTATATATATACCACATCTTCTTCATCCAATAGTCAGTCGAGGGACACTTAGGTTGCTTCCACTTCTTGGCTATAGTGAATAATGCTGCAGTGAACATAGGGGTGCATAAGCCTCTTTGGATTGTTGATTTCAGGTTCGTTGGATAGATTCCCAGTAGTGGGATGGCTGGATCATAGGGCATCTCTATTTTTAATTCTTTGAGGAATCTCCATACCGTTTTCCATAGAGGCTGCACCAGTTTGCATTCCCATTAGCTGTGTATGAGGGTTCCCATTTCTCCACATCCTCTCCAACATTTGTTGTTTTTTGTCTTGGTGATTATAGCCATTCTAACAGGTGTGAGGTGATATCTTAGTGTTGTTTTGATTTGCATTTCCCCGATGATTAATGATGTTGAACATCTTTTCATGTGCCTATTGGCCATCTGTATATCTTCTTTGGAGAAGTGTCTCTTCATTTCCTCTGCCCATTTTTTGATCGGGTTGTTTGTTTTTTTGTTGTTCAGTTGTGTGAGTTCTTTATATATTATGGAGATCAACCCCTTGTCAGATGTATGTTTTGCAAATATTCTCTCCCAGCTAGTGGGTTGTGGGTTGTTTATCTTTTTGTTGTTGAGTTGTGGAAGTTCTTTTTATATTCTGAATATTAAACCATTATCAGATATATAATTTGCAGTTATTTTCTTGAGTTCAGTAGGTTGTCTTTTCACTTTCTTGATAATTTTCTTTGATACATAAAAGTTTTTAATTTTGATGAAATCCAGTTTATCAATTTTTTTATTGCTCATGCTTTTGGTGTCAATGCAGAGAATCCATTGCCAAATCTGAGGTCATGAAGATTTACCCCTATGTTTTCTTCTAAGAGTTTTAAGGTTTTAGCTCTTATAGTTAGGTCATTGATCCATTTTGAGTTAATTTTTGTAATGGTGTGAGGTAAGGGTCCAACTTCATTCTTTTGCATATGGAAATCCAGTTGTTTCAGCACCATTTGTTGAAGAGACTGTTTTTTCCCCATTAAATGGTCTTGGCACCCTTGTCAGAAGTCAGTTGGACATAAGATGTGTGGGTTAATGTCTGGACTCTCAATTCTATTCCATTGGTCTGTGTGTCTATCCTTATGCCATTACCATACTTTTTGATTACTGTAACTTTGTAGTAAGTTTTGAAATCAGGAAGTATGAATCCTACAATTCTGTTCTTCGTTTGTGTTGATTTTTTTGTTGTGGGGCATTTTGATTCCCTTTTTGTTTTCTTTTGTGTATCTACAAATTTTTTTTTAGTTTCCAAAATGACATGTATTTTGAAAGACCCATAAAATATTGTACATGTATTAAGTCTGTTGTGCCATTTTAAACTATATTATTGAGGTAAAAATGTGGAATATATGAGTCACTGAAAGTAATTAAAGTAACTTGCTTACATGATTTCAGATGGAATAAGAATTACAAAGTGCATCTTCATTACCCTAGCAAAACATTTAAATGCTTATGTAGCTTCATTTTCATGGCTTTTTCTTTTTCCCATAACCTAGAAATGGTTAAAAACAAATGCTCTGGATCACTTACATTGTTACTGGAATGGTAGAAGGAGGCAGGCTTTATGTACTAGTAATTTTCATGATAATAGGACATTAATATTTAAGAAAATGGATATTTCATTTTATTGATGACACAATACTAGAAAAAAATATAATGTATTTGTACTTCTCTGAAGTAAGAGATTTTTATGATATTAATGAGCTTTAGTAACTAAAGTTACCAGCCACCTCCCTTAAAATTTAGTATTTTGGCTAGTACTTTTAATAATAGTGTATATTATGTGAAAAATGTTCTGAAACTTTGTATTTGGAGTTACCATGTTTATCAGTTGTGAATTGTGTTCAGTTATGTATGTCATGAACTCTCAAATAATGTCTTAAAAAAATAGATGTTTAGTTTTCTTTCATGTAAAAGATGTGTTGAGCCAGGCAGTCTAAGCGTCTTTTGGTAGCTCCACGCAGTCATGGAGGATCCTTCTGTCTTTCTCTTCTGTCACCCATAGCCTGTGGCTTCCATACTCAAGGTCACTTTAGCCTCCAAGTTAGCAGCTGGAGTTCTAGTTCAGGTCAGTGTTCCAGGCTGGAAGAAGGAGCTTGAATGAAGGGGAGTACAGGAGGAGTGGTGGTGAATTAAACTTACACTTTTCAGCTGAGCAAGCCCTGTTTAAGTTTTTCCGCACCCTGTCTAGCTCTAAGTAATGACTTATGCTTATATCTCATTAGTTGCAAAGGAGGCTAGGAAATGTAGTCTTTTATCTGGGCGTCTTCCTGTGTAGCTAAAATTTTTAAACACTTGAAACATTTCTGAGAAAGTCTTAATTTATAATATTTTATCATTGAAATTGGTTCAGTTTATTGGTTTAAATTGGTTTGAAATTGGTTCATTTAATCTATTAAATATTCTTAATTAAAGTTAATTCCTAAACTTCTCTATTCAGATTTTTCATATTATTAGTTATCTGTGTGTATTATGAACTGTTTCTAGTCACTCAGTTGGTGTGGAGCACTATAATATCAGGGAAGGGATACCTTAGTGTCTCTTGAGATAAGATGATAGTACTCATAGGTAGATGTGTAGGTGATTGAATAAATGTACACAAAAATGTTATTAATAGAGTTAGAAATTGGGGGGATGTCTTTGGAGGAATGGTTAATGGCTTAGTTTATGACTCCTTTCTATTAAATGTATAGTAATGCAGTAGTGGTAGAGAGAATGCCGTTGATGACAAGTGATTCAGAATGGATTGGAATTCAAAAGCATTGTTTTATTTTGACATTTCATTATGGAAATTTTCAAACATGCAAGCAACTAGACAGATTAGTATGTTGAACCATCTATCTGTCACCTATCTTTACCTTTACCTTCCAAAGTTGTCTACATTCTGCTGTTCTTGTTTCATTTGCTACCCTACCCCCCATTTTTGGGGGGAGAGGCAGGAATATTTTAAGGCAAATTAAAGATACTATGTGATTTTATCCCTAAATTTTTAATTGTGTCTCTTTTATAGAGAAAGACCCCTTTTTTAAAACAAATCATCCAGTTATATTATCATATCAATGATATCAACAATAATTCTTCATGTATTTAATTCTTAAAATAATCTTCAGAGGTTGGATTGTTAGCCTAAAATCAACAAGAAATTAAAAAGGAATGGAGAAAGGCATAATGTTTCATAATTCAGTTTAAAAACTTTAACCAAAGTATAAGGATTGCAGAGATATCACTTGACCAAAGCATATGTAAGGAAAATATAGAGATTTTAGTTAACCACAAACTCAGTCTTAATTAATAGTATGGTATGTCTGCTGTAATGACAAACATTCATAGGCACATTTAAAAAGTTTTTTAAGGGCCACACCCGTGGCTTAGTGGTTAAGTGCGTGCGCTCCACTGCTGGTGGCCCAGGTTCAATCCCGGGCACTCACCGACGCACCGCTTCTCTGGCCATGCTGAGGCCGCATCCCACATACAGCAACTAGAAGGATGTGCAGCTATGACCTACAACTATCTGCTGGGGCTTTGGGGGAAAAAATAAATAAATAAAAATTCAAAAAAAAATAAAAAGTTTTTTAATATTTTAGTTATAGGAAATAATCCTTTTGTATTCTGTCCTAGTCTCATTACTATCTCTCATACTGTCTTCCATCTAGCTGCTATATTTGATGAGGGGTACTGGCAAATTAGAGAATGGCATGGTATCCAGAGGATGGCAGCCAAAATAGTTAACGTGTCTTCCATGAGGGAGAAGTCTTTTTTTGCCTTGTTCTTTGTCATAGTCAGTTTGGGCTGCTATAACAGAAGACCAGAGACTGGTGGCTTAAACAATAGCATTTTATTTTTCACTGTTCTGGATGCTGAGATCAGGGTACCATCATGGTTGGTTGGGATGAGGACCCACTTTCTGGTTTGCAGATGGCCATCTTCTGGCTGTGTCCGTACATGGTGGGAAGAAAGATTATCTTTCCCTGTCTCTTCTTATAAAGATACTAATCTCATTCATGAGGTCTCCACCTTCATGACCTAATTACCTCCCTAAGGCCGCATCTCCAAATACCATCCTATTGGGGATTAAGGCTTTGACATATGAATTTTCAGGGGACACAGACATTCAGTCCATTGCAGTCTCTCTTTGGTACAGTACTTGGAACATGATAAGTACTTGGTAATGAGTAAATAAAAGGAGAGAGGGTAGACATTTATTTCATGAACTTAAAGTTGTTTTCACTTACAAATAATATGTTACTTTTGCTTGCAGTTTTATTCTCTGAAATTGTCTGTAGAAATTATGGTGTCATTGTGCTCATTAGCATGCTTACTTTCTGTAGGTAATATATGGACTCTGTTATGATATTCCTTAAGCATTTTTGCTGGATACCATAGGTAGAGTAGTAAAACACAGAATAATATGTAGGAAGAGGAATTAAAACCTAACACTTTTTGTGTGTGAATCATCTTAACTTTGTGCTTGGAGGTAAACTATACTTTTTTTTCCCTCCCAGAAATTTGGCATCTTGTGTAGAAAAAGGAGTTATAACTTTTTGTATGTATATTAATCCCTCTACCTTTGTGCTTAGAGGTAAATCTATAAGATTTGATTTTTCAGACATAAGCAATCTTTTACATTTGGTATATGTATACATTTATGGTAATGAAGATTTTTAAATTATAAGATTTAATTTTAAGATATACTTTTAGGTGGATGATGAAGATTTACAAGATGAACCTCTACAGATCACAGTTCTTGACCATGATACTTATAGTGCCAATGATGCCATTGGTAAAGTGTACATTGATATTGATCCTCTGCTGTACAGTGAAGCTGCAACAGTCATCTCAGGATGGTTTCCAATTTATGATACCATACATGGTAAGGAGTATATTTTAAGAAAATAAATCACCACCTTTTTAATTTATCCTTAAAGACTTAGGTGTTACACTTGGTGGTTTTAAAATATGTATCTTTAAAAGGTGTCTCTTTTTTATCAACATGTAATAGTAAAGTATCATTGGTAGAATTGTTACATTTCTCAACATAATTTGAAATAATGCCTGCTAAATTTGTACAATATAGTAAGTGAATGCATTACTTAAAAATTATCTAATGTTGGTACTCTCTGTTTGTAAAACATATTTTCAAATAGATAATATTGACATTTTTCTGCTTAAAAATTCTTCAGAGGCTTTTTGTTAGTCGAAGCGGGGTTTCCGAAGTGTGGTCCATAGATACTTGCACAGATTCTATGAAGTGAGATGAGAACTGTTTTCAGCAGAATACTTGTATGTCATTTGCCATTTTTATTCTCAGTTTCTTACAAGTGTACAATGGAGTCTTCTAGAGATTTTATGATGTATGATGTTACCACACATGGAATGTAGAACAGAAATGAGAATCTGTATTCCATTAAGCTAGACGTTATAGAGATTTGCAAAAATGTAACACCATGCCACTCTTATCACTAAATTTTTTTTTCAAAATACAGTTATTTTTATAAAAAATGTTGTTTATATAACACAAATGGATTTATTATTATTTAAATTAAGTAGTAAATGGATTTATTATTATTTAAATTAAGTAGTAAATACTGTTTTCAGTTTCAATTTTAATATATAATATGGTAAATATTGATAGATATGATCCACATAAACAAAAACTCTTTGATGTCCTCAATAATTTTTAAGTTTGTGAAGAGGTCCTGTGATCAAAAAGTTTGAGAACAGCTAGCCTAAAAATATGCTGTCTCTTTAGAATGGCAAATGGACCCATAAGGAACTGGCAGATGCTTCTCTCTACAGTCTTGCATCTTTCTGCCTATTTTACATTTTTTGACCTGGCAATAGTAGTTTATTATAATAAAATAAGATGTTTGCTGAGATTTATGTATAAGTATATTGTGATACTATTTATATTCTGTTATTACTTACTAATGTCTAAAATGGAAAACAGGATTTACTTAAATAAATTAGAGCATATATAGACCGTAAGTTATACAGCCAGAACAAAAAGCATGTTTTCAGAATGCAGTGGCATAAGGAAATGTGCATGATATATTATGAATTGCAGAATTCAGATTATAAAACATTATAGGGTGATCCCAAATTGTTTAGAAACAAAAGAATTGCATATTATGATGTCATTAGATAAGTGGGCAGAATACATGCTAAAATGTTTATCCTTGGATAGTTTCATTTCTGGACTAGAATCCTGTTTTTCCTTTGTCCTCTTTTGCTTTTTTCTGTATTTTCTACAGTATATAGGTATTATCTTTGTAATCAGGAAATAAATCCGGTCAAATGTTAAATTACCAGTAAAAAAAGCCACTGGAGAATTAATCTGGGCTGGATTATTTAAAGACAATAGCTATATGAATGAATGAATTTTCTAAACATTTTATATTAAATATTGTTTATAGTTCGTTTAATATATGGTCCTTTGTTAGTAATGTAATCTCTTATTATTTCAATGGGTACGTGAGCAGGTCACTCTTCTTAGAAAGTCTTCCTCCATAAGTATAAATTTGGCATGAAGTCAAGACGGTCAAGTAAAAATATTTAGTAAATGTTTAGAGATAGGGGCTGGGTCATTTTTATTTGTTAGATATTTTCTGAAAAACCCTTACTCTTGGAATTTCTTAGCTTATTTTAACTTATTATTCATTGAAAAGAATAAAATTTCTTTTGTGTTAAATCAGATTCTTACATTAGTTGTTAAGAGCATTTACTCTGGGATAATAAAGGTCTGACTCTTAATCCTGGTTCCACCGCTTACCAGCTAATAATACTGTGCAAATTATTTTTCTTTTATTAAACTTTAATTTCTTCCTCTGTGAAATGGGAGTAATAATACTACAGAAATTACCTCACTGGGTTGGTGTGGGCACTATGAGATACTACACATAAAGCATTTAGAACATTATGCTCTAGCAAGTGCTCAGCAAATGTTATCGTCATCACCATCATCGTCATTATCAGTTTAAATGGGACTCCTTTCCAGTCAGTCTCGGTTATAGTAAGTGGCGACTTGTGGTAAAAATGAAAATTATTCATTCTCTAATGCATACATGTTCTTCAGAAAATAAAGAAACCACTTAGAATGAAAGTAATGAGGAAGCAAAGTTAGCATTGCTGTTATGATTGATACATTATTTTAAAATCATTAATTGACATTTATTTGCTTGGTTATTTAATTGTATTGTATTTCTTAAGGTAGAAACTTGATTTTCCTTTTGAAATTATAGGTATCCGTGGGGAAATCAATGTAGTTGTCAAAGTAGATCTCTTCAATGATTTAAATCGATTTAGGCAATCGTCATGTGGAGTCAAATTCTTTTGCAGTAAGTAAATACATTTTATTACTCATTTAACAGGAAATTTAATAACTGTTAAATGTGGGAAATCAAGTTAATATTTCAGAAGGCTAATGGAAACCCTATTGTACTTTGGTTTTAATGCCAAAGAGAAAATTATTAATTTTTCAGAAACAATTACTGTAGCTCTGGGGACCATTTATCTGATTTTAAAGTAAATGGTGTCTAATTTTTTACAAGTTTATAGAAGTTTTTGTTAGAAAAATCTGGTGGGGCATGCGTGTGCATGTGGTCATCACGACAACGTCACTGTGGCCACAGGGAGGTGTCCACGGGGAGGCTGCCCGGGCTGGCTGTTCCCTCCCTCCTACCCCTACTTCAGCCCCTTCTCCAGTCCCTGCTTCAACATCCACCCCACCCACAAACGTGTTTAGAAAGAATTCCATGAAACATTGCTGGGAACAGTCAGTTAATGCCAGTAGAAAGAGTAATACGTGAAGAGTTTGGGATTCTTTCCAGAATTTTATAGAAGAATCTGCATATTAATGAAACAACTTAATCTCATTTACTTAAACCTTATATTTAATATTATTGGGTCTGAAGGTGGAGAATTGATTGTTAAAGCACCATATAAGAATACAACTCTGAAATACCTAAGAATGACTGGAAATAAGATTGAAAATAAAGGTGGAATGTTTTGCTGCAATGCTACAAATTCATTTATCCTCAGAGAAATTACATCGAGGTGACTGTGATCTGGGAATGGAAAGTGTGATAGCATTTGCTACAGTCCTAACTCAAAACCAAACAATTAAGGGGATAGCCTAAACCGACCTATACTGTATGGCAAACAGGAGGAGCCCCGAGTTCATCTAGGCCCCATGTTGAGAGAAGATCACTGCCTTGTTGAGCGACACGTGTGTAAGCATGATATAAAAAACTGTGGTATAAAACAGGTGATGCCCTGTATCTGAACAACAGACTACACTACCTAGGTGTCAGCGGGCTGTCAGTGTTCAGCAACAACATAGAGGAAGAAGGACTTGTTGCACTTTCTCAATCAATGAAAACAAATCCCACACTCTCGTATCTTCATTTAGGGAAACAAATTCGATGAGGCTACGTGTGTATCATATTTAGACTTAATTTAAATGGGCTGTCTAAAACCAGACAGTGGAGTTGTGGAGCCATTTGTGGTGGGTGGACGTGTGTATCTTGCAGAAGTCTCCAATGGCCTTAAAAAGCATAATTATTGGGCACCAACTTATGGTAGGAAAAGCTTGCAGCCACTCATCTAATGTGGGTTTAACTCTTGTACCAGTAGGTCAACATCTATGAAACACAAGCTCTAAAGTAATTTTCACATATTTGTTTTATTACTTTCACTGAGATTAATATTTTATTACTATTAAACTTTTCTTTCATAAATTAGACAAGTTACTTTTGTCAGATGTGTAAAAGATATAACTATATTAAACTTTGTATAACTGTCCAAAAAAAAAAAAAGAAAAATCCAGTGGTGGTATCCTCTAGTACAGGACACTGAAAAGTCCTATACTAGTACAGGACACTGAAAAGTCCTATACTAGTACAGGACACTGAAAAGTCCTATACTAGTATAGGACACAAAGATAGGAGCAGAGCACTATAGCCAAGCACTGTGGTGCTCTCCCAAATTACACAGACTTCTGAGCCAGCCCTGAAGGCCTAGTGGGTCAGATTCATCGTGCTCCACTTTGGCGGCCCGGATTCCATTCCCAGGTGCGGAACCACACCACTCGTTGGTCCATAACTATGCTGTGGCGGTGACTCACATAGAAGAACTAGGAGGACTTACAACTAGAATAAACAACTATGTACTGGGGCTTTGGGAAGAAAAGAAAAAAAAGAGAGAGAAAGATTGGCAACAGATATTAGCTCAGGGCGAATCTTTCCCAGCAAAAAAAGAAAAAAAAAAGTAATTCCATTCTTCTGGCTGCTCAGATAAACAAACAAGAACAACAACAAAAACAAAATTACATAGGTAATTTTGGAGGTGGAGCCCTGTGAATGCCATGAAATATGGGTCAGAATTGGGCAGATCTGGGCAATTTATAGCCAGCCTGGATTAATAGGGTTGAAAACTCCTAGGTAGTTGAGTTAGCTTCCAGACATGAATGTCTATTTTAAGAAACTGGTTTGGTGTAGGTGTTCTCAGGTTCTCCTCTTTTTGAATCTGACCAGATCTTACTTAAATCCAATGACGTTTGGTGTTTTATGTATTAAATGAGTCTGTTAAGTACTGGTTCAGTACTACTGAACCAGTTAGCCGTATACCGTGAATTATTAGAAACTGCAGGTGTGTGACTCTTCATAATATGTCAGGAAGGTAATGGTTTCATTTTGAGACTGCAGTATGTGGTGTACAGAACTTTTTCAAAGGACTTGTAATAATTAAAGATTTTTCTATTCATTATTTGCTTTCTACCTATTTATATAATAATCTGTTAGCTGACTTTGATTTTGGTTTTTTAAACTTTGTATTGAGTGCTGTTTAAGATAGTCTGTAGATGTTTTCTAAATTATAAAAGTACAATTTATATCTACTATGGTTACATGAGAAAGGTGAGAGGCCTCATGAAAGAAAATGATTATTTTTAAGGGTAAAATGGAGCTTAGAAGACTTTTTAATTGAAAGTATTATTATAATTACACTGAGATTATCACAGTAAAAGATATTCTTGTACTATATAGCCAAAAGATAAGAACTTAGTTTTAAAAAATTGGATTTAACCTTGTGACAAATATGAACATAATAGACAATTTCTTTTAACAGCAACATCTATTCCAAAGTGCTATAGAGCTGTAATAATTCATGGATTTGTAGAAGAACTTGTGGTCAATGAAGACCCAGAGTATCAATGGATTGATCGAATTCGCACACCAAGGGCATCAAATGAGGCCAGACAGAGACTCATTTCTTTAATGTCAGGTATTTAAAAAAATAACTTCATTACTGATTGACTTAATACTCCCAAATTTTTCACTTCCTTTTGATATGCCACCTGAAATTTTACAATGAAGACTGAGAGTTGTAGGTGACTGATTCCCTACCCCAGGCCCCATCCTCCTGAACGCACATGCTTTGCTGTCTTAGAACAAGAAGAAGTCTGAATCAGAAGCTTATAGTTCCTGCTCAGCTAGGTAGTAAAGGGAAATTGTGCTTATGGAGTGGTATAGTGGAAGGTGCCCAGAGCAAGGAAGTCGGACACGGAGTTCTAGTTTTCGTCTCTCTAGCATTTATTTGCAGTCAGAGCTTAGGTCGTCTCTCTAAGGATTTTTTTCAGATGTGGTCTTTTTATAGTCCTTCTCTGACAGCTTGTAGCTCCTTCTACCCCTCCCTGCGACTCTTACCCCATTGCTTTTCTTTGAATAACTTATTTACCATCTAAAATTTTTATATGTGTGACTGTATATATATATATATATATATACACACACACACACGCACACTCACATATATGTGTCAGACAATAAATAAGTATAAATGTTATATAATTTTATATATTTTTCCATATATACAAT